GGCAGGTCAGCCCAACCAGATGCATCTCCTACCTGAACCACGGGGTGGGAAAGGGGTCATGGCACATACCCAGAAATGCAGGTGATGGTGGCCTAACAGGGAGGTTCACAGCAGTTCATGGTCCACCTGCTCCTGGTGTGGGACTGAGACCACTCCACACGCTGGAGCGCTGGCACATAAAGGCTGTTGTGGATGCTAAGAAACCAGAATGGCTCAGCAAAACAGTCCACAGAAGGGAATAGGCTATTTAAAGGGTGCTTGCCCAGGCTACGCACCAGCAATGCTCTGTGTGGAGGCCAACAACCCTACTGGGGGGAGCGGTACGAGGTGAGGAGTTAGGTGCCAAGTTTTCATCAGCCTTTTCCAACCACAACACTGCTGCTAAATTTAAACAAAATCTGTTCCCGTCCATTCTGTATGCCGTGCTCTTCCCTGTCACACAAGGCGACCTGAACCTGATACACTCTCCAGGAATTTATTTATTTATTTATTTGCAGCCTGTTCACCTGGTGACCACACATCCCTCCAGAATATCCCATGACTTCAGGGGCAGCCGGGGTGCCAGGGGCACCCAGCCACCACTGCATGGGAAAGAACTGAGAAATGCAATAAAGTTGCTGATGCGGTGCACCCACAGTCCCCAGGAAGTGTAAGGATCTGTGTGTTGTCCAGCTCTCATGTATCACGGGGCAACGTACCTTCTCCACTAAAAATAAGGGCTGCATTTGAACCAAAGTTGTTCCCAAAGAGAGGCTAACTTCACAAACACATTTTTTTGAGAGCAGATCACTTTGGCAAATGCTTTTCCTCTCTCTGAGAGGAGAGATGGAGGAAACGCCTGCTCAGAGCTCCTGTGTCCTCAGCTGCACGACAGGTCAGTAAAGAGCAATGAAACACCCCATCAACCGAGCCCATGCTATTAAATTCAAACCAGCAATGCCACACGAGTTTTCCCCATGTCATATAATCAAATAAATCTGAAATTTCCATTCCTTTTCAACTGCACTAATGCCATTGGAATGACGTGTAGGGTAACACCAGGAAAGTTACTGCTGTAAAGTAAGCACCTGGGGTTTAGTTTGCATACTGCATGGATTGGGGGTTATTATCCATTTAATATATTTCTTTTGTCACATATTAGAAGCAGAGCTTTTAGGAGCTTGAGAAACAATATGTTTGCATACTGCCTGTAACTAACACTCTTAGTTAGAACATTCTGTGGTATATTGCTAATAGGATATCAGAAAAGCCCAAAAAAGGAACACCACCATGAGAAAAAAAGCATAGGGCACGTCCTCAGCAGAAAGAAGAGACAAAACACACCTATATTCCACAATGGCATCCAAAAGTTTCTCATTTGTCAAAGCCAAAATATTGTCATGATCACAGCATTTCTGAATGAAATCCAAGATGGGTGGGTGGGAAAATGCCAAGCCCTTTTATTTTTTCTTCAAAAATTTCTGAAAGGAAATAATAATTTACAAAACCTTTCTCACTGTGAAAAAAAGTATTAGAAAAGGAAAAAGGAAAAAGAAAAAGAAAAAACCAACAACAACCAATTCTAGCTACATATGACCCTGCCAAAGCAGTTTTTGTAATTACTACCCCAGGAGAAACCTGGGTTATGACTTACGTTTCCCAGTGTTTAACTCAAGTAATACATAACACCATTAAAGAATTTGTTGGTTTTGCCATGGTCAGTTATGGCCTGACCTGGAAGCTGTGGCCAAACTACCAGGACTTTCTTGTGTCTGGTCCTGTGATGTTGGGGGTTGTTTTTATTTTTAAGTAGCCCCGTATGGACTGCACTTGCTCTCTAAACAAAGCCAAAGCTGTGAGCACCCAATGCCACTGAGCACAATCCCCCTGATGTGCCCAATAGCTCCCAAACACGCATCTGGCCCAATCCTTTCCCCACTGATGACTCCATCCCAGGACTCATCTGGTTTAGGTGCTTACATTTAAAAATAGATAGAGAGGAAATTTCCTTTTTCATTTGTTTTCTTTAGAGTCTAGGTAGCCTCATAAACAACAAGGTGAGGGGGATTTTCAAAAGTCTTCTCCCGCATGGTATCCAGGATTTGAAAATTGGAAGGTGAGACTTTTTGGCACTACACAGACAAGCGTGCAGAGTAATTGCTCTGATAGCTGGACCCAACCTCTTCTGCATTTCTGCTTAGCAGGTTAATGCTGGACCACTCTTTGTGAACCTGCAAATGATCTAGAGCAGCTACGCAAGGCACATGACCGAAGCCTTCACTCTAGAATAATCTGGAAGAAGGCTCAGATTTCTGTTCAATATCTGTTTTTTTTCCACAGAGAATAAATGATTTCTGTCACAGAGACCTGGAGACAGCTCTGCTTATGATAACTTGTCAACAGGGTAGCACAGAGAGACAATTGTGTTAGCCTTTCAGTCCCTGTGTATGAAAATATGGATGGATTTCTGGGCTGTTGCCCAAACCCAAATACCAGCTCAGCACCACGTGTTTGAGGCACTAGATAAGTAAAGCCACCTACATCACTTATGAATAACAGAAAATGATGGCCAACAGGGAGAACTTCTTTGGGCCTTCAGAAGGGGATCATAGCTGAGCTAAGAGCAGAGACCTGTTCCCTGACACGTGGCTGAGAGCACTCCC